CTTTCTCAGGAAGAGAAGACTTGGGGCAGGTCCAGCAGGTCAGTAACCCACGGTAGCCATAGGACAGGTGCGTGTGTGTGTGTGTGTGTGTGTGTGTATGTATGGACAGGGTCACGAGAGAAAGAGGGTGTACACAGCCCCCCACTCAGGACCTCAGCCCCAGGAGTTCCTGAGAATTCCCATGATGGGGTTTTGAGGAGCAAAAAGTCGCTAAAGAGAAACCTAAACCCCATTATTAGGAAATACTTTTTTCAACAACCATTAAGATAACTGGATTCAAAGAACAGCTATCACAGTAAGTATACAACTTTGAAGGGCTTCAATCTTGGCCCAGTGCCTGGGTCTGGGTTCAAGGCTCCCATCTAATGGGCCCCATGACCCATCCCTGATTTTCAACAGCCCCTGGGCACCTCAGTTCCCCATTACCTCCTGGGCTCCCCTTCCTGGATCTGGGGAAAGATCTCTTCCTTTTCTCCCTGTTGTCCTAGCGCCTAGCCAGACCACTAGAGTCTCACTGGCAGCTCAAGAGCATTCCTGGGACTCAAGTCCAGCAGTTGCAGAGGCCTGTGGAATGTCCACTCCTGACACTCCTGTGTCACCTGGCCACCCTGGTACTTTCCCACATTCTCCTGGGAGCACGTCGACTTCGTGCTGTGCTTTATGAAATAGCTGGTGCCGGTCCTGCTAACCAAGAGCTTCCCAACAGTGCTCAGAGGACATAAGCTGGCTCGGCTGTCCCCGCTTTACGAGGGAGGAAACTAAGGCTCTGGGGAGCAATGTCACCTGCCTAAAGTCACCCAGGTGATTAATGGTGGGGTTGGTCCTCAAATCCAGGAGGGCAGGTGTGTCCAGGCTGATGGGCAGGTGGCTCACTCTGCTCCCCGGAGCTGGTAGGGATGTGTAAGACCAGAGGGACCCCAGCTGTTCAGAACATGGCATCCAGCTGGGATCAGGGTCCCCAGGAGCTCTCAGTGGAGGAATCCGTGAAGCCCTCAACAGCAACCTCACAGGAGTAAGGAGGGGTGTCTCCTATATAAAGAAGGGCCATGGCAAGGGGTATGCTCTCTGGCCAGGGACCTGAGGGTTGCCAGGCTCTGTAATCACAGAGCAAGAACATCTGGCCGTAACTTTCAGGAAGATCAAGTTTGGCTTGCAGACGGACTCCTGGATGAAGCCATTCCTGACCACATGAAAACTGTCTAGCAGGGGAAGCCCCAGGCTGAGTGGCCCCTGGGGCTGGCCCATGCACAAGCAGTTACTCTCACCCTATCCACACCTGGCATGGTGCCAGCTGCTGGGCACCAAGTGGGAGGATGACATGAGGGCCACAAAGGAGAGCCCTTGGAGAGCTGCAGGTCTCAGCCAGATGGCAGGAGGAGGAGGAGGACGGCAATGAGGACATGACCCCACACTCTGCAGACTTCCCATCTAAAACAACTCCCTGCCAGGCCAGGCCGGTCTAGACAGCACACCTGCTCCGGGGATGGCCAAAGGCCTGTGAACCTTGTAACGTGTTCCAAAGTTATCTCCCTGAATGGATACACTTTTGGAAAACAACATATGCACTTTATAGAAAAGGTGTTCCTAAAGAAATAAAATGGTAAAGGGGTGCCTGGGTGACCCAGTCGGTTAAACTGACTTCAGCTCAGGTCATGATCTCACAGGTTGTGGGTTCGAGCCCCAAGTCAGGCTCTCTGCTGTCAGTGGAGAGCCTGCTTTGAATCCTCTGTCTCCCTCTCTTTCTGCCCCTCCCCTACTCACAATCTCTCTCTCTTAAAAATAAATAAGCATTAAAAAAAAAAAAAGTAAAAACAACAACAAAATGGTACAACCCCAAATCGGGAGTCAAAGGGCTGCATTTTGGATGCTGCACATGCCCTAAGGGCATGTTGCTTTCCTTGGGATGACAGGCCTTATGGCCTGGCCTGGGAGGGAAGCCACCCGGCTCGCTCACTGGCCCCAGACACAGAAAGGGCTCAAGGAATGAAGGGAACTCGCCACCCCCACTGTGAGGGCTGAGGAATGGCTCTCCTGGGCAGGGAGGTAGTGGGGAGCCGGGAGAGCTATTTCTTGTGCTGCTGGGATCCCCCCGCCACCTCTGCCAGGCCATGAATAATGACAAGGGGCAGCACATGGCGCTGCTGGACACCACCCAAAGAGCCTCACACAAGCCGATGCATCTAATCCTCACAAGAAGCCCATAAGCGGGTACTATTATCATTCTGTATTCCAGACTTGGAAACTGAGGCACAGAGATTAAGTACCTTGCCCAAGGTTACTGAGATCTTGACCCAAGCAAGCTGAGTTGCATCTCTCCATGGCACACTCAGCTGCCCAACCTCCGGGTCTCTGCTTTGTACAGAGGTGCCACTGAAGAGGACTGAGAACAGGTCCTGGGCCTTCACACTGGTGTAAATGGGCTACGAACATCCAGAGAGGAAGACTCAATCACTGGGCCACACCAGCCTGTTGAGCAGGGAGCCAGGCTCTGAGGACTGTGAGCTTCCACAACGGGGTGTCCTGCTCATATCACCCAGGGGCTGGAGGCTCTGTGACTCACTCAGTAAACATCCCCAGTCACTGCAGCCCCCACAGTGCTTCCCTGGAGGATATTCTGCAGGATGGACGACCGAAGGACCTGGAAGGCAGCTTCCCTCTCAGAAGCCTCTTTGAAGTAGACTTCCTTTGGGGGGGGGGGGGGGGAAGGGCAGCAAAGCGGTGAGATAGAGAATAGCATAATTCAGACGACTGTGAAGTGTGAGTCACTGTTGGGGTGGCTGACAGCACCTCTCCAGAGCAGAGAGGCACATTGGGATGGTGAGGAGCATTCACTGGGGGGGGCAGCATGTGTCAATACCTACAGACCAAGGAGGCTCAGAGGCCGCTGAGCAACCTGCATAGGTAGCTACACACAGCAGGGTTACCTGGCTCTAGGCCTCAGAGGAGCCTCCAGAGAGGGGACTGCCCACAGCCAGGCTGGTCCCAAGAGGAGGGAACTCCCAACGCCACTGGGGACAGCTCTGGCTGTGGCTAGGACACCTCAGCTAGAGCCCCAAATCCAGGAGAGGAGGTAGACCTGAAAAAAACCAGTGACCAAGCTCAAAGACAGCATCTAATTAGCACAAATGCAACTCCTACCACTTTGAAATGGGCTGAGGCCTCAAGTGGGGGCTTCATCTGTGGAACCCAAGTTTCCTCAGGATGTGTCAAGTCCATCAGGAACATGTCTCACTTGGTGGCATTCAGGAATGCACACCATTTGGCAAAGCAGGTGACTGGCTGATGGGCCTGGCATCTGGTTGAGGGCGGAGTGCTGTTTGGATCCACCAAGGGGCTGGACAGCCTGAGGTAGGACGAGGGTGCTACAGTCATCCAGACCCCAGGCCAGAGGCCCAGGCCACAAGAGAGCCTTCATTATTCTCTGTGATGCCAGTTTCTTACAAAGTTACTATCACACTCTGAACTGCAAACACATAACAAAACCTCCCATGTGCACTCCTGAAATACAGCAACGGGAAATGCTTTTAGTGCTATACTCCAAAGAAGTGATCCAATGAAGCTATTTTTAACCATCTTCTCAGACTTAATTTCCAATTTTATCCTATAAAGTTCTAATTGATTCCACCTCCCCTGATCTCTCACTTGACAAGGCTGTGAAGAACATGAGGCAGGCTTGGCAGTTTCTGACGCATCTGAGGTGGGGGATGTGCATGTTGCTCATACTTCTCTCTTAGCACGTGCCTTCTCAAGGGTTAACAGATTTTCCAAAATGTCTGTATGAGGTGCCCGCAGTTCCCCCGGCTGCCAGCCACTGATGCCTGGCCTTTCCCTTCAAATGTCCTTCCTTCACTGGGCCCAAGGTGTGCAGCACCAGCCGGGATGCTGTGACACTCCGTGGACCACGTGACATGATGGAGAAGAGCTTTTCTCACTTGGCCCCAGATCCAAGTGAGCCTCATCACCGGGTGGGCTCCAGAGGGAGGGAAAGGATGCCACACCACTTCAGCTCCATCTCTGTCAGAGATTCAAGGGTCCTTTGACTTCTTCCCACACCCTTGCTCTACCCATGAGCTGGCATAGGAAAAGGCTGTCTGCACCCATAGCCTAGGCGGGGAAGGGTCTGAGGACCTTTAAATCCTGCCTTGCCACCGCCCCCCCCCCCCCCATATGCCCCATGTCAGCCACACTGGGCCTTTTGCCCATTGCCTGGATGTGCCCATGGCCCCCTCCAGTCCTGCAGGCAGGCTGCTCCCTCTGCCAGCACTGCTCTCACGCCCCTGGTATTGGCTGCCACCTTTCGCCAGGGCATTTTGCTCTTACGGAAACTGCTGCGCTACAATTCTGTATTGGGACCTGACAGATGTACACGTGCTCCAGAGGCCGGGGCCCACGTCCATCTTGACGATGGTGGTCAGCACACAGCTAACATTTATTGAGCAGCTACCTAGAGCCAGGCATAAGCCAAACACTTCCCACAGATTCATCTCCTTTGATCCTGACCACAAACATGGGATGTGGAGTCCATGACCACTGCACATCACAGAGGAACCCACCAGGGCTTAGAGAGCCGAAGGGATTTTGCCAAGGTTGCTTGGAGGATAAGGAGCAGTGCCAGCTCAAACCCAGAGCCTGGGGTCCCAGACACCTTGACTCACTGCTTACAGTTCCCTGGCACGTCCCTGGAGTGCCCACCCGGTGATGAGCAGGATGAATGGACAGTGTTTCCTCCAAAGCTCTGCTGCAGCCCAGGCCAGCCCTGGGAGGGCATACCCTGGCAGGATCTAGCACTGCTGATTTTAGGGTCCAGTGGCCTGGCCGGGGCTTGGATGGTTCTGAGAGTCAGGATCTCAGGGCAGGCACTGCAATTTCATTAATTTGGCCTAGAAAGTAGGCCCATTATGATTATGCTTTTTAAAAATCCAGCACTTGCTGGCCAACTCCAAATGGTCCAAATGCCAGGCCAAGTGCAGACGGTGGGGTGAACACACGTCAGGGCCTACCTGGGTGAGGACGTCCAGCTGGCCCACGATATGCTCCAACGTGCTGGTCAGCGTCTGGGGCATGCTGATGGGCTCCTGGGGCTGGCTCTGCACCGACTCCTGACTCCTGCCTCTGCCTGGAGGGACAGGGAAATCCATTTCTGGCTAAAGACAACGAAAAGAAAGGGAGTCCTTCAGTCTTCATTCAGTGCTTAAAGAAACAACAGAGGAAGGAACAGCCCCTCTGAAGGATGAAGTAAAAAACCACCAGTAAACTGGAGAAAATGAGTTCCAAATATTGGCGGGAAACACAGTGAGGGGGTACTCCCACAACCGGGCCACACGCCCCCTTCCAGGACTTCCTTTCTAAGCAGACGCTGTGAGTGAGGAGCGCAATCAGAGCATTTGGCAATGTGGGCCAGAGGGGCCTGGGAGGGATGTGCAGGTGGGCCGGTGAGTGCACTCTGCTGGCTCCTGGTGGCCACCAGGGCGGCCAGGCCAGCTGCTGGCTCTTCAAGCAGCCTACACCCCCCAGTAGGCCTCTCAGAGTCCAGAGACCCTGAAGCCCAGCCTGGCTCTGAAGCCACCCCTCTTCCTGGTCAGATCAATGCCAATTCCCCACCCCCCAGCGCAGGGATAGCCTAGAACCGGGGGGATGTTCTAATCCCGCCCTAGTGCACATCCCCTGGGAAAACAGGCATTCTGTGTGAACATCCTGGCCAGATGGCTGGTGGGAGTCAGAATCCACAGGACAGGCACCCTGGGCTCTTTAGACAGGATTCCGGGAATGTGAGGAATCAGTGTTTCTGCCTAAGATCCTTCTGCTCCCAAACGCAGAAGCCATCCTAACCTCTGTCCACGCCACCCCCCACAACCACTGAGCACAAGTGATTTCCTAAGGGGACTCATCCCAGTCCTACATGTGTCCCCCCAAATTCAGGCACCAGTCTGCACACAGATGAATGCCTCTCCTAACCTAGGAAGTGCTGTGCAGGGTGGGATTCCCAAGGACACAGTCAGCAGATGCCCCAGTTCGGTCTTGGAGCCTCCAATTCCTCTGTGGACATGACATATTTGGTGAGGCTCACACTCTTGGCCTGGCCCAAAGGCCCCAGTAACCCATAAATGCAGCTACACTTAGGGCTCAGGGCTTTAAACCATGACCTCACTAACAGCACTAACAGACATCCCAAATGTCACCACATTACTCCCTGACTTTGCTAGTCCTCCAGGGCTCTCTGCTGCCTTTGGGAGAAAATTCAAGCCCCTTGACAAGGCACCCCGCTTCAGCCTACCTCCTTTCACAGCTCCCCTCCTGCTTCTGCACCCTCTAGCCCAACTCCCAAAGTCCTCCCTATTGGGAGGCCTCCCAAGGGCCCTCATCTGCCCTTCCTTTCCCCTGGCCCCAGCATCCTGTCCTCCACTCACTTTGCAACCCTGAACTCCTGATCAGAAGCTCCTCTGTACTCCCACATGCCTGTGGCTGCCCCACCCCAGCCATTGCATCCCCAGGACCAGGACACATGAGTGGGATGGATCAATGCTGGCCTGCCCACAGGGCCTGCTGGCTGCCCATCCATGCGTCTATGTCCCTCTTTCTCCTGCCCACACTCATCACCCCTCTCCCTTCTGAATCTAGGACATTACTGAGTTTAGAGCTTGCCAACTACCCAGATACCACAGAGCGAAGGCTACTCTACCTGGCACCCCTCCACCCCTCAATGCCATGGCCAGTGGAGTATACTAGTTATGACTGGGGCTCACCTCGGATGCCTGCACACCTGTCCACTGTCTCACCCCAACACGGCTGCCTGCGCACCTGCCACCAGCACCTAGCTTGCATCTCTGAGTCTCCCCATCTCTTGGATGAACCCACAGTGGCCGAGCCCTAGAAAGACGCTCTGCCCTGGACATGCTCACCTGGGTGGACATCAGAGTCCTTGAAAAGTATCACCCCAGGAGATGATTCCCAACCAGCCAAGGAGGGCAATTTAGCACATGGACCCTACTGCATATCTTCCTTTATTAGGAAAGTGTTCCAATCTCATAGATAACAAACTCTCCAGTCCACGTCCATTTGAACCTGGACAAATACAGGCTTTGGAGGTTACAAAGAAAGTGAATGTGAGACACATTCTTGAAAACAGGAACAGTGCCATGTGTGCAAACCCATCGTGTGCGTGTCTGCTGTGGTGCTACAGCCGTTTTGTAAGACCCTAGCCCACCAGGGCTGGGGTTCCAGGCCTCTAGGAATCAATGCCCTTGGCTAGTGAAAGCCCTGACAGTTGTGGGTGTTTTGTTTTTTTTATTTCCTCTTCTTTTTTGTAATGCGAGTGCTTGACTTCAGCTTGACTGCTCAGGCATCCACTTCAAAGAGGCATCCGCTGGAAAAGGGCTATCTTGAATAAACACATTGCCAGCACACGACCAGATAAAGAGCCAGGCCACCTCCCACTGCAGAGGCTCCTTTGTCTTAGAGATCTTGGTAGATTTTTGATAACTGACCATTGGACCGCTTGTTTTTTCTTAAATTCCCACTCTTAAGTTTCAAATCCACCAATAAAGAGTGAGCCCTTAAAATTCCTAGGCCCCTACCTTCAATCCCAATAAAAGTAGAACCCTAGGCCTATGAGTGCCCACTCTCTCTACCCGCCAACCTCAACCATGTCATGTGGCCTCACGTGTGCTATTTCTAGGTACTGAAAGTAATAAACCTTTATTTTTTCAAAGTTTCCTGATGGTTACTGCTGATGGGAGTCTTATAATCATATAAGAACTAAGGGGCGGTTCAACCACAACACTGGTTATTGACAGAGACTGGCACACAATGTTAGATCCCAATGTCTATCCAGAAGTCCATTCCGAAAGGAAACATTTCAGAAGGCTTGACCAGCCGCTACCTCACTGCAGCAGCCCCCAGACCCAGGTGGCAATGTCAGGAGACACAGCAGAGTGCAGAGAGGATGAGCAGGGACTCAGGCTTGGCTCACATCAAGCTCCACCACTCACCGGCAAGGTGGCCCTGGGCAAGAGGCTTAACCTCCCTGGGCCTCCACCTCCTCATCTGCAAGATGGGGGTGATGATTGGGCCTGCCCCACAAAGGGCTGGGCTGTGAAAGGCACTTATCTGAAATCATCAGTGGACCTTTCTTGAGAAGTAGCCACGGCCCTGTGCCCACTACTTCCAAAGGACCCCCACCTTTTGGACACGCACACTCTTCCTTTGGACAGTGAGTTCCCCGTGGCTCCCTCAGGAGAGGCCATGAGAAGGAGGGTGGGAGTCAGGCAGCCCTTGTCCCGACAGCCAGCATCCTTGAGGAGTGGTCAGACGGGCGCTGCCTGCTGCCTGGGAAAGATGGAATGGAAATTCTGAGTGTTTCTGAAAAACGGCCCAGAAACTGACAGTGCTGAGCGGAGTCTCTGGAAGCCCAGTGATTGGGGGGGGGGGGGGCGGGAGGAGGGAGCACCACTGACTCGCAACAGGAACCCTCCTTCTGAGCCAAAACCGAGCCAGCTCCAAAGGTGCACTGAGGACAGCAGCCATGTGTCAAGTCAGGGAGGTAGCCTTGGGAGGAAAGGAAAGCAGGAACCACTGTGTTTTCCCACCTACTCCAAGCTTCACAGGCTGCGTCCATTATACAATAAAGGAGACTGAGGCTCAGAAAGAAAGTGACTGTCGTTAGGTTCCCAGCCTCAAGCCTCACTCACAAGGTCCAGGGTCCTGCCTGCCCCAGGCTATTCCTCCGGCCACGCCGTTTGGTCCCTGTCCACCAGGACATGGCCCTTTTCTGCTTCCTTGTCCTCTCTCAACAGTGGACATTATGGCACTTAACACACAACCAGGCCGGCATATAAAGATGGCAGTCACTGCTGTCTACTTATTACCTACCATGTGCCAGCGTTTATACATGTCACTTCGCTTAATCCTTATAGGGGCCCTTCACAGCAGGTGTTAGTAACCTTCTTTTTTCTTTCTTTTTTTTTTTTTTTAAAGTTTATTTATTTATTTTTGAGGCCGGGGTGGGGGGTGGGGAGAGAAAATCCCAAGCAGGCTCCAGGCTGGCAGCACGGAGCCCAACACGGGGCTCAAACCCATGAACCCGTGAGATCATGACCTGAGCAGAAACCAAGAGTCAGACGCTTAACCAACTGAGTCACCCAGGTTTCCCTTAACCTTATTTTTCAGATGGGGAAGGAGGCTCAGGGAGGTAAGCATCTTGCTCGAAGTCACCCAGGAAACGATGGAGCTGAGATCAGAACCCAAAGTACAGGCAGTTCCCTGACATCAGGCAGCTACTGACAGGTGACATGGCCTGCAGTTTTGCTTCCACACGCCCAGCTTCTCTTACATCCTGTGTTTAACACTTTTTGCGTCATTCCCCCACCCACCTGCCCTGGAATGCCTGCCTGACACAGAGCTGAACACAGAGCGGGCCCTCCACACACTGGATGCCTCAAAGAGCCAAGCCCACCACGGTGACATTCCTGTGTAATGAAACCTTCCCAAGGCAAAGGGCCAACAGCCCCACCTGACACAGCATCGTGGCCACTCACCTGCACTCCAGCACCCTGGAGATGTGGTATTTCCCAGAGCTTGGCAAACAAGCGATAAGCAGAGATAAGATGACAAACAAGAGTGGGAAGGGACACACGCGCCAGGGCCGTGAGTAATGATAGTGATGGAATAACTGGAGCAGCACTGAAGGAGGAAAATCCTATCAGTGCTTTGCCCATTCAACATCAAAGGGTCCTGGGGCCCTGCCTGGTGGTTCGCAGGCATAGCATGCATGAGTAAAGTCACATTAGCCTACATGTACATACCTACAGAGCTGTACCAAGTTGTCATCTTTCACTTGTGCCAAATATAAACATCTCATTATTTATTATTGTTATTTTTTATTTTAGAGAAAGAGGGAGAGAGAGTGTGCCAGTGGGGGAGAGGGACAGAGGGAGAGAGAGAGAATCTTAAGCAGATTCCACACTCAGCACGGAGCCTGACACAGGGATTGATCCCATGACCCTGGGATCATAACTTGAGCAGAAATCAAGAGTCAGCTACTCAACTGACTGAGCCACCCAGGCACCCCAAATATAAACAGCTTAACATCAAAATAAAAAAAAGGTGGGGTAGCTTAGTTGGTTAAGCGTCCAATTCTTAATTTCAG